ATTTTGTTATCGGTTTTTTATCTACATTTTTATCGACTTTCTAAGCGATTTTTGTGATCGATTTTGTCGTCAATTATTTATCGATTTTGTTATCGATTTTATTATCGATATTTTTATCGATTTTCTATCGAAATTTTTATCGAATTTGTCATCGGTTTTATTATCCATATTTTTATCGGTTTTGTTAACGATATTTTGTTGGATATTACTTTCGATAGAGTATAAAGATAAAAATGAAGGTAAAGGAAAACAGAATAACATAAATGTAATTGGAACGAACAGGGGTAGATGTTGGGATCTAGATAAAAATATAACCTTAAGCAAAAGCAGATGTACATATGTATGAGCGTATATTGGTTATGAGACCAAATAGATATTTAAAGTAAGTTTCACGTCTCCAGTGTGGCCAAGGCGCACTCACTTTTCTTTAACTAAAGAAAATATTTAATTTTGGTGAAATTTTTTTCCTATAACATTTAAAATTTTCCAGTGAATTTTTTCGTTTAGGGGGAACCCTTCAATTATTTTCAACAAAATTCATCAAATTGGTTGAAAACTTAAGGCTCCAGTGAATTATGACAATTAAATTCCAGTAAAACACAATTACGTCGGCAACGAATTCAGCTGCTTATGACGATGATAGAAATAAGTCTATCGTTGCGAACAGTCGTCGGACGAACGTCATCGTTTGCTTTGGTTGTGTGCGTTCTCATATACAACCGTGTGTTTTAATTTCTACAGCGAACATTCGCTGTTCGTCGGCATTGTGTTTCAGTGGTTACATGTAAGTTGAGAGTTTATATTGACTAGACAAATTGAAAATCTTTTCTGTCACGCTTGGCTCTTCCCAAAAAACTTTTTACATATGTATCTATGTGTATGCATATATGTGTGTATGTTTAATACTTGTACATTGGTACATAAGCTTTTCCCTTGCATTTTTTTATAAATTTTCAGCCGGTCAAACTAGCTCGTCTAAATATGAAAAGGAGTAATTAATCAAATGCAAATTTGTTTGCGCCTATCTTAATCGTGCACTGAGGTAGTATATCAAATTAAATTGTGAACAGAGTGATTTCCATGTCGGTTGATGTGAGATTAGAGCCAGCTGCCACAACAATAGAGAGTAAAAGCCGCGCATAAATATATGTATATAAGTAGTTTGATATGTACGAGTATCCATATGTGCATATACATGAAGATTTACTTACATATTTGCTATGTGTCTGCAAATTTATGTACGTACATAGGCATGTGTGTAGAGTCGCGCTTGTAACAGCACTAATAGAGATAATCAAATCAATCTAGGTTGAATGCATAAATTAATGTTTAGTTACGCGTTAGTGGAGCTGAAGATAAGTATGTGTACATATATACACTGCAAGAAGCAAGTCGTACCAAAATTTCATTTCGTCTCGAGTAAATAGTTCGGATATTTATAATTCAAGCACAGCACAGGTGGCGATTTCAATATAAAGCCACTGTTTAGTTATATTGTGCTCAAATGTCATTTGTATTTGCTATATTTCAAAGCGGCACAGAATCGCTTATTTTGACTGGTTCCGAAATAGTTCAAGGTTAAGCCGAGGAGTGAACTTGTCACCGCCTATGATAAGGTAATGTTAAATTGCCTGTTATTTGCATGGAAAATGTATTTAATTGGACATGACTACATATTTCGGAACAGGTACAATTTCTTACAGGGTATGCGTGCGCAAACGCGGACCGCAATGGTGTTATGCTCATTTAAAGCTGTATGTATACTATGTTCTTATATATCTCGTATGTTAGAAGTGTATTTTGTTAATCGTTTTTTGAAAGAGCAATAACGTCCATGGATTTTACTGCGCTTACGAAAAATTAATACTATTGTTTATGGATGATAAGAACAACTGTCCAAGGACGTTATTTCCGCTGACCCCCTTACACGTCACTGTAAAGTTTGTACGATTTTTATAACATTTCTGACATTAATTAACTTTTCAATTGTGTATTAATGTCAATGACATTATTTCCCCAATTCTTCTAACATTATTTCACTTGTGGCCTATGTATTAATGTCATTGACATTAATTCCCTTCCAAAGGGAATTTATGTCAATTGACATTAATTTCATTGACATTATTGCACGTCACCTATTCTAATTTAGGAGGCTCAATGTAAAACATAGGGACGTTCCGGAGATTCCCCCCGGGAATAGAGAAGTTTAATATCCCCAGTAGGGTAGGGCAGTTAGCTGAACCATTTAGCAGAAGCTTCCAGAGAGAAAGGAACATCTGGATTGTAATGTTTTCAGAGATTATAGATGACAAAGGTATTCGCAGAGAGGTATAGGATCAGTAAAGTTTAAAAGGGCGGATTGAAAACAGGTGATCGGCCACCAATAAATCCATGTTGGTTTGGGCATTTCAAGCCTACTGACTGAGAAAGACAATTTCTCTTTAATAACACACGCGAAGATTTTTGAGACATACTAGACTTGGTCCTCATTCCGGACACATTTTGGAAATATTTGTATTTTAAAATTGTTCACTGATTTTGGAGTTACTATCATCACATACATTTTTCTCTCTCTGGCAGTCCTAACTAGAAAATAGTAGTTTTGCACTTTACGAGCGAAGCCTGATAGTGGCTGCACTTCGATGTCATTTTAATGTGTGTTCCTAGATAGTTGAGGTAGAGGTACTTAGATATCTGGTATGCTTCTCAGTGATAAGTTTATCACAGGCTTGGCTAGCGCATCAATCCGCTCATTCCTTTCAATTGCTTTGTGGCTTGGCGCCCTATAAATAGCCGGTCATCTGTCAACACAGAGTTCGTCTAACCTATTCCTGTGTTGTGGATCACAAGGTGAGTTACTACTTTTATTGCTGTCGATGAATATATTTACATGTCATCCATGAGGAGTTCGAGCCTCTGCCAACTCAGCTGCTCTAGTTGCAGCAAAGATATCGGCCTGTAAAAAGTAGTAGGAAAAACCAGCTAGCCCTTATTCACTCGTACAGAAAGTCTGGGCATTGGGGTAGGATCAGGGTCCTTCCTTCCACTCAAGCCTTTTGAGCTTTTTTTTAACTGGTCTGAGGAAGCACATAGCCTGATTTGTCGGTTAGCTTACGTTTACCACAATTTCTTACTTCGATTTATAATTTTTTGTGGGAAAAAGAAACAAGCACTGAACTCAAGTATACATATGAAAAGCTTCATATATTTGCCTCTAAAGATTTCATTGAAGTCCCACAGAGAAACCTTTTTCAATATATTCGCCCCTCAAATGAAAACGAGCATTGATAGATAAGATCAATGTGGCCGAGTCAATTTTTTTACCAAGCTCGTATAGCATCTGAGGATTCTACGTGTAATTCTAAGCAGATTTGACGAAGAAACCATGATTCTAAAATCAATATGGAGTTTGCCAAATTTCGAAATAGGTGTCGAAGAAAAAGTGAAAAATTTCACTGTTGCGTTTTAAGAAAATGATAAGTACAGAAGTGATTTCCTCATACCAAAGAACCGCTTATAGCATGTTTTTATACAACGTTTAAGCACTTCTTTACGACACTACAGCAAAATGCAAACTCCAAACTCATTTTAGACCCATGGTTTCTTCTGTGCTATACGCTCATAGTTGAAAAAATCTCCCAAGCAAATTCATGCAAATCGACCCACCCTAGTGCGTAGTCATCTCTAAGAACCTTTTTTTCAAACTAGTTTGCTCATTCATTCTCAACCTTTTAAGCTGAACTTTTAATCCAACTCAAAATACTGCCTTCGTATGGAAAGGATGTGAATGGTGGAAGCTCGAAGGTTACAATGAATTGGTGCGGAGTGGATAATATCAAACGCATTTAATCAATGTGTGAAATGAATTTAGTATATACATAATTTAAAATAAATCTTATCGTCAGAAGCATAACGACAACAAATGTGTACATATGTATGTTTGTATATGTGTGTAGGAAGAAATATGTATATGCGTACATATGTAGATTATGCATAAGATTGCAGGCATTCAATTTTTATATGCTTTGGAGTTGGTATGCAATAAGCCCCAACATAGGCGCACGCGACGATATCCAAGAGTAATCGATGCAATTTATGCGGTTCATACAGTCATTGGCATTACGATGTGTTTATGTTTTTCATATGTATGTGCATATGTATGATTTTATTTTTTATTTCGTTTTTTCACAATAGTGGGGTATTGTTTTAAGGTTTGGCACACGATTGTGGCCTGAAAGAAGAAGCGTTAGCCGAAGAGAGGCAAAGCTAAAGCATTCCCACAAAGCCAAAATAGTTTTGGGCCAAATAAGTAAATATGTACATTCAAACAAACATACATAAAACATATGTACATATATGGATCTACTTGGCTATTCGCATACGTAATAGGTATGTATGTATGTACATATGTATATATTTACTTTCATATAAAATTTAAAAAGCAAATATTTGGAGCTTTGTGCAAGCCATGTTCGCCGCTTTACTCAGACGAATGTTTTGCATTTTATGCGATAGTGATTTCAGTTTAATCGCACGCTAGTAACAGTCGCAGTTGTAAATCGTTAGTGATCCACTACAGTGCAGCGTCGCGGCATTCATGTTTTCCCATCTTTTACCTCATAATTTTTACGCAATTTGATATGGAGTTTTTATACGTACATACATACATCGAGCAATCATATCAAATTTGTTTACGCTGTCACTCGCTCGCGTTTAATCGCTGCATTTCGTCGCTTAGCGCCAACAGCATAGGCCAAAGACGTCCAAGTCGCGTGTGTTTTATATAAAAATTAATAGATATAATTAAATCAAATACATACATACTTACACATAAGTATGTATATCATATAAGAGTGTTGCAAAAAGCATTACTTTGAAGTGTAAAGTGTGTATTTTTCGCATTATAAACTTGAATTTAAATACCTCAGAAAATTGTTATAAAATTTTAACAAATCTGTTGAATTAAAATAAAACTAAATTGTATACCGTTGTAGATAAAAATGTTCTCTGAACGTGATAACGGTAACAAATTTTGGCGTTTGTGGTGTTTATTAGTCGTCTGCAGTATGGTGCGCCAGGGAGCAAGTGTCAAAACTAAGGCTAGATATAAGCCTATGGGTGTGGATTTGTTCGACCATGAATTTATGAGTTTTCCAGGTAAGTTTGAAAAACTGCTGCCCTAGGAAGGCTGCTCAAACAATGAGATATCGTCCCTGTTTTGGAAAAAATTAGATTTGGTAACCCCGAACTCCAGGCATCGAGATTTATGTATAAAAATCGTTAAATCGTTATTAAAACATTAGATTTGTAAAATAATAGCTTCAAAGGAACTGTTTTTTCGCTCTCCTGTAAAATTTTAGTTCCGTAAGATAGGTGGTTTTGCAATTGGACGATAGGCGGAGTTGCAAAAACATCGACGATATGTGTGTAGATTGGATTAGATATAACCCCCGCCAATGCAAAACGCTATATTTGACAACACTATATTTGACTTCTTTATCGATCACATGTTATAAGCTGGGTGTCGATAACGATGTTTTACTGGAGGTTAGAATTAACCAGACATGGTGCAAATGGCAATTAGTACAAGTATGTTTTTTTTTCGAAAAAAAAACAAAAGGTTATAGTTGTTATACAGAGCCAAATGAAAAGTGATATGCCACCAATGTCGACGGAGATTATTTGCCTACGGCACTGTGTAGTACCTGTAAGAAACGACTATTGTGTGTTAAAGTCTGTATAAGTGGCGCCTTGCGGACAACACCCACAGAGGTCGTGAATATAAATATCCTACCTGCCGCAAATGCTGCACTAAGCCCGCAGGAACTAAAAACCTGGTAAGAACAGAGAGGTAGTCGTACTATCATTCTCAGCAACAAAAACTTAGCAAACAACACGGATTTCCTCGTAACTACGGTCACTTTCGGTAAAGGATATCACACAGAAAAACCAAGTAGAGTATCATGGTCAAAAGGAGTCTGGCGCACGAAAATTCGATTCGGTTCTACACTGATGGATCCAAGCTACATAGATAGCAGAGTAGGTGGAGGAGTATATACTGAAACTAACGCTGGAGTGGTCCTTCCGCCGCCCAGACCATTGCAGTGCCTTTCAGGTCAAACTAGCGGCTATACAATAAGCTCCTGACAGTCTACGTCATATAGCAGTCGCAACAAATATACTTAATACCTACTCAGTAAAGCAGCTATTAGAGCACTTTATTTCGTCACTATAAATTCGGATACGGTGGCGAACTCCCTAAATAATATGGCAGAGAATTTCACCTTGCAACTGGGATGGGTACTAGAAATGCCAGAACGAAAATAGCCAATGCAGGAAGGAATCGTTAAAAAATAAATCGATCTCCAAAGATCGATTCATAAATATATGAAATATATACATATGAAAGCCCGCCTTGAAATAACGCTTTGAACAATACTGAAATCACAAACATTTGTAGTAAGTAATTTTTAAAACGTAAATTTTTCATAGCAGTTGCAATATCCATATTTATCCAAAAGCTATCATGTAGCTCACAATCCGTAGTTACTTTTGAAAAAGTAAAAATGAGCATTCAACAGAAACTTCATAAATTCTTTGCCCTACTTAGGAAAATGGTTAAATTTTTTAAAAATTGTGTTCTTTTTTATTACAAAAGAGAGAAATATTATGTTTTACGTCAAAATTAACCACTATTTCAAAAAATGTTTTATATACATAGACTAACCCAATAAAGCAAACGTACATATACATATTTTTTGGATATTTTTTTTTTTGTTTTCCCTAACTTAATATTTCACTCCTTACTTAGCCTTTTAGAAAATTTCAGTATTGGCCCATTGAATTTTAGTATAATAAAGTGTAACTTGAATATTTCATTTTTGGGCATTTTTTTTGCTGAAGGTGTTGCTTATTTCCCCATGCAACATATGCCCGAAGTTGTTTTTTTTTTCTGAAAGAAAATGTGCATGAGCGTCAAGAAAAACAGGATCAGTCCGGCGCCTTCGTCTTGACCAGGAGGCTGTGTCGGAGTCACATCCGCTAGAATACCTGATATTATTAAGATCACATTCAAGTTAAGAACGGTGCATCAAATTTTCGTGAATAAATTGCAAATCAATCATATGTACCATCAGTTTGCGTCTGATATTGTGATACCTACATATTTCATGTGTCTGATGAATTAAGTTAAACTTTATTTTTATTTTTTTAAGATATTTGCCCTTTTTTGCCTTTTATACCTTTAAAAAAGTGATAATAGCATTTACAATTTTTTTTTTTTAAGATATAAAATATACACATGCCCATGCAGGTTATAGAAGCGCAGGGACCTCTTGCCAAATTGGTGTTGGAAAAATTCAAAGCCGTTTTCTCAGCTAACGTAGGCTTGGAGACAATAAGGGGTGTGGATAAAATTGTAAAGGGTGAGGAAAACGCCCTTATTCCTGATAAAATGGACGTTTCAAATGTTCCATATTTAAATTGGGTTCCACTTGTATCAACTTACGTCGAGCGCACATTTAATACATTCAAGGTTTTTCTTCTCGAAAATCGAATGAAAATGCTGCCAGAAAACTTCAAAATGCATCTTGTGGTTCAATGTTACTACAACTATACAGATTAAAGTTTTATGAGTTCGAAACTCGAAAAGATAAAATAGTCAAAGATTCAAAGTACAAATTTTTCATTTAATGAAACTAGTTCATAGATTTTCTCTTTTTGCTTGTAATATAAACATTTCTTAAATAAATGTATTTTTTGATTGTTCTTCGTTTTTTCTGTCAATTTAATGCCCTATTTTGCTTTTTTTTGCAATACCTAGTGCCTTTTCCAGCCTATTTCGTTATTTTATTTTGCCTTTTTTATAGGTTTTTAGGTCCTAAAAATCCGTTCCCTGGTGATAAGATATGACCATTTTTATATGAGACTAAATTGAAAATGGAAAACTATGATGAGGATAATCTTCCCGTTAATATTAAGGGCTCAGATTTGGTAAATACTTTCTAGAGGTATCTAGGAACTAGTTTTCGTGTGTCGGATCCAAAAAAAATACTTGATTTTTTTTTACCCACCCTAATATACATATATATGTATATGGATGTACAATGTACATATCTATAATATGTGTGTAGACATATATCGTCGTTTAAAGTGCAAAACTGCCTATCTTTTGCAAAACCGCGTAACTGAAATTAGATTTGCTCATAGAAAGCTCCAGGAATAAAGCCTTATCTATTCATACCAATACATCGATATTAGACCATGTAGTGTAAAACAACAGCATAGTTTCAATACCGCTGATCAAGAGTAGCATATATTTTTACTCTGTCCTGTAAAATATTGGTGACCTCACGTACGCGATTTTGCATTATCCTGATACGCGGTTTTGTACTTTAAACGACGATATGTAGGTACATGGGTACAAAATATGCTGCGACCAGCTTATACATATTCCCCCTTACCTGCGCAAACTGTTTTTGATATCCTTTTGTCTCTACCAGCACCTAACTGTTGCAAATTGATGACGAAGTGATTTTGTATGGCAAAACATTTATGCCCATATATTTGAATAAAATAAACTTACTTAGAAGATATCAACCAATACTTCCCATATACCAAACGAAAGGAAAACATTTTGTTATCGGTTTTGTTATCGACTTTCTATTCGATTTTTGTGATCGATTTTGTTTTCGATTATTTGTCGATTTTGTTATCGTTGTTTTGTTATATTTTTTTTCTTTGAATATCATATTAAACTAGCCCATAAAAAAAGTAAGTGCGCCTAGGCCGCACTGGAGGAGTGAAACTTATCTTAATTTTTATTTTTATACTCTATCGATAACAAAATAGATAGTAACATCCAACAAAATATCGATGACAAATTGGATAAAAAATATCAATAATAGTATTGGCAGCAAAATCGATTAGAAAATCGATAACAAAATCGATAAATAACGGTAACAAAAATTGATAAATATATCGATTAAAAATCGATAAATATATCGATAACAAAATCGGTTACAAAATCGATAAAAATATCGATAACAAAATCGAAAAATATCCCTCTCTATATCCGTTCCTCTTTAATTACCTTTATTATAATTTTTCCTCCTGTATCTTCATCTTTACTTTTATCGGTATTCCATCCTTATCTTTTTACTTTTATGTTTATCATTTTCTTCATCTACATATTCCCTTCACCTTTGCCCTTATATATATAATGATAAATTAATACCATATGCATAATCACAAGAAGCACTTGTATCAGGCCCAACCATTTCCATTGAATTTGCCAATTACTCCCAACCAACCAACCACCGCTAAAGAATTTTCACTTCAATAAATTTAAAAAAATCTTTGCCTCGGCGGTGGGCATGGCTTACAACATATTAGCTTCTAATTTACCTGGAAGGTAAGTCTTACAGTGAGACACTAATGTGGAAAATTTTTTTCCGTTCCTGAGAAATTGAATTTTGTCCAGCTTTCCCTATAAAGGCAACCACTGTGCATTGGAGTGTATAATGGAATATATTGCAAATATTTAGAGCAAGTTTCTCAATGTATGGTTAACAGGTGGGGTGCGATAAAGCCATGCGAGATAACGCCATATGGCTCTATCTCCCATCCAATTGCGAGGTAAAGCCATATGGCATTATCACGCTTCGTATTGAGAGATAATGCCATATTTTTTTTTTGTCAATTGTGAGTTAAAGCCATATGGCCTTATCTCTCATATGAATTTATTTGTCATTGTGAATGTGCATTTAATTGTTATTCATTTCACCTGGCAACTTTCTTAATCAATGTCATATTGCATATTGTCATATTGCATATTGTCCCCTGCAGTATCATAATCCCAATTTTTTTACTTGGGAATATGACACTGCAGAGGGAGTGTCATACTCCCAATTGGGATTTTGACACCTTTGAGCTGGTTTCCCTTTTACGAAATGTGCAAAAAAAAATTTGTTACTTTTTTTAACTTGGGATTTTGTCTAATTTTTATTTGGGATTATGACACCCAGCCTGCGTGTCATAGTCCCAAGTAAAAAAATTGGGATTATGACACTGCAAGGGGAGTGTCATAATCCCAATTTTTTTACTTGGGATTTTGCCAGTTGGGACTATGACATGTCACCGATTTTTCCCTTTTACAGAATGCTTACACCTTCTTGAATGCATATAGAGCAGAAAATATTCCGTAAAAGGGAAAATCACATGAGAGATAAAGCCATACGAGATAACGCCATATGGCCTTATCGCTCTTTGTAATTGGAAATAAAGCCATACAGAAATTTTGGCGCGAATATGGCTTTATCTCTCTTTGAATTGAGTGATAAGCCCATATGGCGTTATCTCGCATGGCTTTATCGCACCCCTCCTGGTTAACACTAACTGCAGGTAAAATATAGGTAGTTATTGGCGTGAGCCACACCATAACATAAAACAGGGAGTCGATAACGATGTTTAACCTGTTGTTTGGGTTAACCAGACATTGACAAACTGACCCTTAATAATTATGTAAAGCTTTTTGCTCTTTATTTGTTTGCGCATTGTAAATTGACAAATTTAAGGACATTTCCTTCAAGTATTATCTTTTTCAATTTTACAGATTCACTGAGCTCAAACGCAGAGGACTGGGACGATGGTGAATCAGAAATCGATGATCCCGAAACAGTGCCACGCCTCTACCAAGGTGACATCGCAATTGATCCTTATACCTACATATCACTTAGACTGGGCGTTAATCCCATGAAGCATCCAAAACGTTTGTGGCCAAACGCCACTATTCCCTTCGAAATCAGTCATTTGTATACCAACAATGAACGGATGGCCATAGAACGTGCCTTAAATACATTTAATGCTTTAACCTGTATTAATTTTAAACCCTATGACGGCGAGGAAGAAGATTACGTACTAATTACACCGCCGGTGGATGACGCGCCCCCCGGTTGCTGGTCATTTGTGGGTAAACGTGGTGGAGAGCAGGTAGTGTCATTACAACAACCGGATGATAAAAGCGCACATTGCTTCAACAGCGAAGGGCGGATTATGCACGAGCTTATGCATGCTATTGGAATTTATCACGAGCAATCTCGAGCTGATCGAGATAATTTTGTAAAAATACACTGGGAAAATATCGTACCGAAATATCGTAAAAATTTTAAATTAATTTCAAAAAAGAAAGGCAAACATGCTTTCGATTACGATTATAATTCTGTAATGCATTACGGCGAGTACTACTTTAGCAAAAAGAAGGGAGAGAAGCCCACTATGACACCGTTACAGCCGGGTGTACGCATAGGCCAGCGGAAGACTATTAGCAAAACGGATTGTCTAAAGATCAACGATTTGTATGGTTGCCTGAATGGCAGACATGCGAGGATGTATAAAAGTTTCTGCAATTTGTTGGGACTTTAAATTAATGTTTAATTATGTACATATTATACTGTACAAAACGAAAACGTTTTTTTTCGATATTCGTAAGGGTTTAAATCATATTGATTTACGATTGTACTAAATGCATACTAATGTACATATATTCAGCCTAAAAATACGCTTGTT